GTGTCTGACCTCTGCCAAGAAGATCATCTAGACCCACACCGGTCAGGCTTTTCAAGTATCAAAAGCTCCTTTTGTTTTTTGTTTAAATTAATTTTTATTTAAATTAAAACAATCTTATTTTACACACCAATTCCAGTTCCTTCTCCTTCCTGGTCATCCTCCCTGTCCCCCCCCACCTTCCCCCCCGTCGCAACCCCCATCCATCTCTCAGGGAGGATGAGGCCCCCCCCATGGGGGAATCATCAAAGTCTGTCACATCGTTTGGGGCAGGGCCTAGGGTCCCCCCCCCCACGCATGTATCTATACTGAGAGAGTGTCCCTCCATAGGGAATGGGCTCCCAAAGCCCAATCATGCACTAAGGATAAATCCTGGTCCCACTGACAGCAGCCCCATAGACTTCCTATGCCCCCCAACTGACACCCTTGTTCAGGGGACCTGGCTCAGTCCTATGCAGGTTCCCCCCCTGTCAGTCTGGGGTCTGTGAGCTCCCACTTGCTCAGGTCAGCTGTCTCTGTGGGTTTCCCCAGCATGGTCTTGACGACCCTTTCGCTCATCACTCCTCCCTGTCTACAACTGGATTCCAGGAGTCCAGCTCAGTGCTTAGCTGTAAATCTCTGCTTCTGCTTCTGTCAGCTGCTGTATGAAGGCTCTATGATGGCATTTAAGGTGGTCATCCATCTCATTATAGGGGAAGGGCATTTAAGGTAGCCTCTCCACTACTGCTTAGGTTCTTACTTGGGGGGTCATCCTTGTGGATTCCTGGAGATTTCCCTAGTACCAGCTTTCTTCTGAAGCCCGTAATGGCTCCCTCTGTTCAGCTATCAAAAGATCCTTTTGTAATGCAGGTAAATCTTCATGGAATTTCTTAGATATGTAAGATGGGGAACATGGCTTAACCTCAGGCTGTGGAGGAGGCTCAATACTTAAAGTGCTTGCAGTACAAGAAAACTGGAGTTTAGACCCTCATTAGAACCCACTAAAATTCTAGGAGGATATGACAGCCATGTTCCAAAGGCAAATACAGGCATCCCAGAGTATACTGGCTCCTTAAGATGAGCCTTATCAATGAGCTCTGGGTTTGACTGAGAAACCTCAAACAATATAACACTGAAGGACAATGTAGGAGGATTCCCAACACCGACTTCCAGGCTGTGGTGATATCTTGTTTGTACGAATAAAGCATGCCTGAAGGCCAGAGGGTGGAGCTTGCCACCAGCTAATAGACAGACAGGAAGTGAGATGGTTGGGTGGAGAGAGGAATATAGGCAGGAGGAAATAGGAACTAACTTTTTTTTTTGGCTGGGGATTGGAGAGGTAAGGTGTGGCTGTGACTTGTTCCTTCATCCCTCTGATCTCTCAGCTTTTACCCCTATGTCTGACGCCCGGCTTTTATCATTAAGACCTATTAGAACTGGCGAGACAGATTGGCACCCAAAGTGTAAAAGGTCGAGAGACATTAAAAGATAGTTTGATAATGCAAATCAGAATAGAAAGTAAATTGGTATAAGACTTTGGACTCACCAAGACAGGATACATAATGAAGTATTTTCTCTGAATCTGTCAAATGCAAGTGGACTAGACATTGTTAATGCACTTATTGCCTGTATGTATTGTATATAGTTACTCTACTCATTATATATAGCTTTTCTTATATTAGCTATACCTTTTAAAAAAATTTAGACAAGAACTCAAGACAACACCAGCTTCCATGGGCACGTGCACAAGCATTCAGCTACACACATGTGAACACACGCGCACACACACACACACACACATACTTGCACATCACACGCACTCACATATACACAATGATGGAAACGAAGAATCAGCCTTTATACCTTGCCAGCACGGTACATGCCTGGATGCATGCCCTGTATCTATCTATCCGTGAGAATTGCATGTGCATGTCTTTTCATACATGTATGCATATACAACATTTCTCTAGCTGCATGATGCATCTACATGTGCAAGGCAGGAACTCTTATCTGTGTGATTAGCCTCAAGGAATTTCGGTGACCTTGTGATAAGCAGGTGACCCTTAGCATCCTGGAGTCTGGAGAGAGTCCTCCTCACCATGTCCACCTCGGTCCTTAAATCTTCGGGTCAGCTGCTAATTGGCTAAAGCAGGAGGGCACGGAGCAAACGGATTACACATGCCAAGTGACCCCTGACATAAATCTACCACTTTGGGGGTGGTTCCTGTGAGAAAGAGAGAGACATGCAGCCTGGCAACAGTCTCTCTTTATTTCTTCTTTAGATAAACAAAGGAACGTTTCCAACATTGCCCCTGAAAAAAAAGTCTCACGGTGCAGGATGGAGTTAATCCAGCGAACTCTGAAGGTGTGTGCGGACTGACGGGAGATGGTAGGGTGACTTTCATGATGTCACAGTCAGGCTTTGCAGACTCTCTTACTTCTAGTTAGGTGTTTCGGGACCAGCACAAATAAGCCCTCATCAGCTACACAAGAAGCTTGGCTGTATTCTTAGACTCAAGTTTCCTGAGAGTTAGCTTAGCTGTAAATTAACCAGTCTCCAAAATACATAAATAAATGAGTTGCCTTGTTTGGAGACGTCTCCAGTAGGGCTAGGGCGCCGGCTGCTCTTCTGAAGCTGGTGGCTGTGCCACTGCCCGGCACTTTTAGAAATACTTATCAGTGACATATTGAGAAAAATTGTACCTACAAAAGCAACGTCTTCTTCCATGCAAATCAGGCCCCAATTCCCCACAGATAAGGATCTTTTTGATGGCACGCCTGCAGAAGCCCCAGCTCTTAATTCTTTCATTAGTATTCCAGGCAGCTGGTAGCTGAGTAACAGAGAAAACTGTCTGAACTGCTGTGTCTGAGCCTAATATTGATTTGTTTAATAGTGTCAGGAAGTCAAAATTCACAAATCTCCTGTCGATTGTTTATGAGGCAGTTAGCAGAGAATTGGTTGCCCTTGCTTAATTAATAACTCATTACTGAAATTTGATTATATGCTTGAATGCTTTAAATGGGCTCTAACGCTGAGGTAGCAGAGTGGGGCGGGGACGAGGTAAGGCACTCTGAGGACAGCTTCCCTCGGGAGGCTTCTGCCATGAGAACGTCCCCACACAGGCACCATGCAGGCTTCTTCCGGTTTCCCTCCCCGGGCCAACCTTCCTGCTGTCCGTAACTGCGTTTTAAAGGCGGCCTAGAGCCATACAGACTAGAAGCTTGCTGCATTTGAAATCCAAGGTGACAAGCATCATTGGTTGGTTACTTGATCAGGAGGGACAGGTATGCCACAGGGTTGGGGATGCATCCAGACTCCAGGATGCTGAGGTTCTGGAGGCAGGGACTATGAGGGAGAGGAGCAGCAGATGGGGAGCCCAGCTCCCTGTCTGTGTCATAAAAGCACATTGGTCTCAAAATAGAAAAAACAAAAACAAAAAACAAAACAAAACCCAGCATCGATAGTTATTATCCTTGACAGACAGACTGAATGATCATGACTGACGTCTGCCTAGAGGGAATTTGAGGCCGGGGCCGTTTGGGAGGCAACCCTCCCCGTGCCTAGCGCCAGGGACAGATGGAGAAATGAGGACCCACCCATACATGTTAAGGAGATGCCAGAGGACAAGGGTGTCTGTGCCTTGTTTCCACAAGCTAACACTGAGGGGCCAGGCTGATGTGCTTGTGGAGGGGAGGCTCTTCCCAATTTCCTTTCACGGTTCCCACGGAACTTCTGGGTCATCCTGCTCTCTCCCATCCGTGTCCCCAGAGTTGATGCCAGCCAAGCCTTGTGGGCCCATGTGTCTTCTGAGCCCCTTGTGTGTTCGTCTGCGTGCAAGCAGAGTGAGGGAGCAGAAGAGCGAGGACGTACGTGAGCTCCTACCATGCGCCACGGTGGGGGCGGGCATAAGTGAGCTCCTACCATGAGCCATGGGGGCGGGCATAAGTGAGCTCCTATCATGTGCCATGGGCGGGCATAAGTGAGCTCCTACCATGCGCCATGGGCGGGCATAAGTGAGCTCCTACCATGCGCCATGGGGGGGGGCGGGCATAAGTGAGCTCCTACCATGCACCACGGTGGGGGCGGGCATAAGTGAGCTCCTACCATGCGCCATGGGGGGCGGGCATAAGTGAGCTCCTACCATGCGCCATGGGTGGGGGCGGGCATAAGTGAGCCTACCATGCACCACGGTGGGGGCGGGCATAAGTGAGCTCCTACCATGCGCCATGGGGGAGCATAAGTGAGCTCTTACCATGCGCCATGGGGGAGCATAAGTGAGCTCTTACCATGCGCCATGGGGGAGCATAAGTGAGCTCCTACCATGTGCCATTGGGGGCGGGCATAAGTGAGCTCCTACCATGCACTATGGGGGGGCGGGCATAAGTGAGCTCCTACCATGCACCATGGGGGGCGGGCATAAGTGAGCTCCTACCATGCACTATGGGGGGGGGCGGGCATAAGTGAGCTCCTACCATGCACCATGGGGGGGCGGGCATAAGTGAGCTCCTACCATGCACTATGGGGGGTGGGCATAAGTGAGCTCCTACCATGTGCCATTGGGGGCGGGCATAAGTGAGCTCCTACCATGCGCTGGGCAGGGCCTGGGTAAGAGAGCGTTGCCTCCCACTGAAGCACTGCTGTAGCTCAGGTTTGGCGTAAGCTCCTAGTCTTCTTGGAAAACGTCTGCCCCTTCATCCCTCAACTCTTCTGTGGGCAAGACTGTCCAGGTTGTGAGCAGCTGCGGGCTGCGCGCGACAGGTGCCCCCGTTGGCCCGTGTGTCAGGTAGAGTGTGGGCAGTGTGGGGCAAGCTGAGCTGGCCAGCCACCTGACGCCTTCCTGGTGTTTGCCGTGAGGCGGATTGGCCAGAGGACCTCGCTACATTATCTCAGATCTTTTTTTTTTTTTTGTTCCGCAAGAATGGAAGGGTTACATTCTAGATTCCAGACAGCTGACTCACAGGGAACTTTCTAGAGCAGCACAAAGTGAGAGATGCCCGGTAGGCCTGAAGTGAACAAAGGGTATTTCTGCCAGGCCAGTCTTGCCCATGGAGCGGGGGCACTGTGGTCACCCTCCTCAGGGAACTCTTTGGGAGCTGAAGAGCAGTTTGGGGCCCGGAGAACTTTCCAGAGCACCACCAGGTATGGCTTTGTGGATTGCAGGAGTGTGGTCACTGCCTATACGGGCCAGGGTGCCTCTGGAAGGAGGTAGGACCAGCGTGAGGCCTTGAAGGATGGGTTGAATTTCATTTGGTTGGGGCCCAGAGCATTCCAGGCTGGCCCAGGAGCAGGCTGGTCAGAGGTTGGTTTCAGGACCAGCGACTGGCCACGGTAATATGACCGGCCTGTCTCCTGCCTGTGGTCTTAATTGAACCAGCCAAGCTTTAAAAATGAACAGTTGATCATTTGATTAAGAAGGGCCTTTGACTCTTTCAAGACCCACAGAGACTGATCCTTATCAGCGTGGATTGGAACGGTTTGTATGGAGGAATGCTGGCTAGACTTGGGAAGGACTGTTTGTGCTGGCCCCCGGGGCCAGACTGACCCGTACTTTCTCATTGTTGGGTCCCTTGGTAGAGTGGGTGTTCGGGGCTTAGGCCAGAACCTGCTACCCCGTGAAGAGCGCCCAAGTTCCAAGTCTGCTTGCTCCTCCTGGCGAAGGAACTTCATTGCGGTCTGCTTCAAAGGTACCACCTGGGCCTCTGCAGCAGGGCTATCTGGGGCAGCTTTCCTGTGGCCCCCCTGCTGCAGCACCAGGAGAGCTTGCTGCTGTTGGCCATGAGGGCTATTTGTCAAATTGTTGTAAAGGACATTCAGTTGAACAGAGGGGGAAAAAAAAATAAGAGTTAACTCTTAAAAAAAAAACACACTCTAATTTATTCTGCTTGATTACGCAGCTGGAATGGGAAGGTAGCTGCTGTTTGTGGTTAAATAACTCCTGACAATTTCTTAAAGAAATGATCTTCAAAGCCTTGGCGGGTCAGTGGCTCAAGCACAAAGGCAAGATTGATTTCCATCCTCCTACTCTTTGTTCCCAGAGCTTAAAACAGACACGTTTGGGTAAATTAGTTTGTCTATGTTATTAATGGAAGAAGTTATTAAACTCCCATAAATATGTGCTGGTATCTTGCTTAAAATGCCAAGTTTGTTTTAAGGGAAGGAAAAAAAAAAGGCAGAAGGAAAACATGGAAGAGGTCAGAGGGGTGGATTCATGTTGTCTGTTTTTCTTCTCTAGAGGTGAATTTGGATTGGTGAACTTGGGGGGGGCAATGATGACTCTAGGGGTTCCCCAGGTGGTGGTGGGGTCATGCCCTGTGTCTTAAGATTAGTGTCATTGGGATGCAGAGGGTGATGATACCATCTCCTTAGCAGAGAAGACGACTTGGGGCTGTCCAGCTGGAACCCAAGTTTTCTGTGCTTTACCAAGGCTGGGAAGACAATCCAAGGAGTAGAACACTCCCCAGAATCCACACTGAAGCAAAGCAAAACAAAACAGAAACGGCAGAGAACTGTGGCATTCGCTTGTAACCCCGGCACTGGTGGGGCAGAGACAGGAGGATCCCTGGGCCTCACTGGCCAAACAGCCTATCGGACCTGTTAAGTGCCAGGCCAGCAAGAACCTGCCTCAAAAAGCAAGGTGGACAGCATTCTGAGGAACAACGTCCAAGGCTGGTTGACCTTTGGTCTCCACGGGAACCCTGAAGCATAGATGAACACACACACACACACACACACACACACACACACATTTTCAGGAAAGAGACCCAAAAAGCTGGCACACATGGCAGAGGTGTCTTCCTCAACTCACATCTTAGGCTAGAGTGCAAGAGAGATTTGGTCACAGGACCCACTATGGGGCAATGCCCAAGTTTCTGGGGCTCACAGCAATGGGGGTGCTGGCATAGGTAAATACCCTGACTGTGTGGGGTTCAGGAGTTACAAGTCATGAAGTTTGGCGTTTTTTTCTGAGTTCACAGTGTGACCCTGGGGGTTCTGCCCGCAAAGACTGGTGAGCCTTTCTCTGCAGGTGGCTAAAGGCAGACATGAAGTTATTTTTCTGGTCCTTGAGGGGAAAAGTAAAACACAAAAAGCATTTGGAAATGAAGAAATACATTTGGAAAGAAAAAGGGGCAAATTATGGTCAGTTGCTAGCTAGTGCTTTCCCTACTTGACTTTTCTCAAAGCCCAGAACCCTTGCTCATGTGATTGTGTGCACATATGAACACATAGATACACAACAGACACCCCCACACACAGACGTACACACATACACATAGACACCGACACACTCATACCCCCATACACATAGACACACAGAGACACATACACATAGACACAGATACATCCCCCCACAATAGAGACACAGATATACACATACACACATAGACACAGACATAGACACACTGACACACACACAAACACTCAGACACATACACATAGACACAGACACACTCCCACCTCCCCACATAGACACACACATATACACAGAGACGCATATACATAGACACAGATACATCCCCCCAGAATAGATACACAGATACACACACACACATAGACACAGACACAAACACACAGACACACATGCAGACACATAGACACAGACACACTCCCACTCCCCCACACATAGACACACACACATAGAGACACATACACATAGACACAGATATACCTTCCCACACACATAGGCACACAGATACACACACACAGACACAGATACAAATGCTTACATACCCACCACCCCCATACAAATTGCTGAATGGTCAGTATACCAGCTCTATTACAAACTGATTCATTCCCCCCCAAAGTCTTCACCAAGCACATCTACATCTATAAGAAACAGAGAGGTACATCATGTCTGGCATTGTCACTCAGATAGTGAGACCTGTGAGCCTTGAAAGCAGATGGACTGACTGACCCCACCACTGGGGCTGTGTCCCTACACATTCTGCATTCTCCCCCTTCATACATGTGCAGACTAGTTAATATGGGCACGGGTATATCATGTATAACTACAATATTGGGGGGTCATGGATGTAACTCAACGTGCAAAAGGCTAGCTTCTCTACTTTCTAAAGAGTCACAATCTTCCAGCTAGGGACAAAATGTTAAACACATTTTGGGGATAAGAATATTTCATGCTTACGCCCTAACTCTCTTCCGGGGATCATATGAAATGTCCACACAGCCTCTGCGGCTGTTGGGATCCAAACTCCGTTCCTCTGCAAGAGCAATATGTTCTCTTAACTAATAAGCCGTCTCTCCAATCCTGGAGCACCCTTTGAAAAGCACAATAGTTTATAGCATTTCAATGGCTGCTTACAAAACCCTATAGCCTCCTATTCCTTCCTGTCCCAGTTCCCCCAGATAGTTTCAAGCTAAGCAGAGAACCAACTGACTCAAGCACATTCAGTTCCTGGGTTCAAATTCAGGTTCACCCACCCCTGAGCTCTGCCTGATTCATTAGTCCTGGAAGTCTCGAGGCTGTTGACTGCATGGAGAGCTGAGCTCTCCTTTGCCGCTTCAAACATTCAGTTCTTGAAGCTGCTTCTGGATGAAAGCTGCATCCAAACGAAAATGGGCTCCTTTCGTTGGATGGAAGCCACTTCAAGGCAGTCAGGAGGACTTGGGATTTGCTATAAGGGATTACTTTAGCAATGCTTTTTGCCTGTCTCTACATTTAATTAGTCTTTGGATGTTCTGATCATTTTGATGCAATAAGAATTTTAGTGTATAGAACATCCAATATGTCTCACAGAATATGGACACTTAATAGCCACGTCGCTGAAATGAGCCTCGTTGCTAACTGCTCAGCTTCCATGCACTTAGTCTTCATGTGTTTTCAAGAGCACCTATGCGTCATGAAATGTCACCATGCCTCCGTCTCTCCAATGGGGCAGGGAACAAAGCCTTCATAGTAGATGTGTGAAGACTGCATGAAGGAATTGGAAGGGGGTTGGCAAGGGCCAAGTGCCTGTGAATTTCAGTTATTCTCTTTGAAATTCTCTAGTGTTCATCACTCATTCCCTCTCCTCCTCCTCTTCTCCTTCATTTGTTTTTCAAGACAGGGTTTCTCCGTGTAGCCCTGCCTGTCCCAAAACTCGTTCTATGCAGACCAAGCTGGCTCCAGACTCAGAGATCTGCCTGCCTCTGCCTTAAAGGTATGTGCCACCAACCTCTTCTCATCAGTGAGTTCTTTGCAAGCCCAGACCTTTTAGTCCCTCTCCCTGTCCATTTGAGTCCTGTTGCATGCTCTAGTGAGTGAGCTTATGCATCGAGGGAATGCAGAGTGATGTCTGGCAATCACGATCCTAGGGACTCATTTATACACTGGCAAGCCTAAGTGATCACAATGGGCCATCTTGAATACGCCCTTGGGAGGATCTTGGCACTGCACAGCTTAGTCACAATTCAACTTCCTACATGTCCCATATGTAGGCGTCTTGTCAGTGAACTTGTAACAATGGCCTCCTTGGATGTGGCCTCACATAGATGGAAGTGGAAATAGAGGAGCTTGAGGCGTGGCTTTGCTTAACATGCTCTTCCTGGTGGGTCAGTGGATCCTGTAGGGAGAGCAGGAAAATTCTCCATCGGTTCTTTGTATATTTCTGTGCAGTTGTTCCCCCAATAATCACCCATTTGTCATTTATCTTGGGTCTAGAGATACATTTACATCCTCACCTTCACCCATCCATCTCCTTAGAGTGCATGCAGGGTCTGCCTCACTCACAGCTCCCGACACTAAGGTCTCAAACCTTCTACCACAAGGCCCATTGTGCTCCTGGGCATCCCTAGGGTCAATGGACCCATTGGGAACACAGGAGACAAGTGTGGTGAACCTCCTTCAGCCCTGCTGGCTGCTGACAGGGTAGGGAAGGAATTGACACTTTCCTCTGGGCACCTGACTCCATGGGCTGACAAAGTGTCTAGAGTCACACAGGCCAGTCTTTTCCCAGGAAGCATCTTCCTCTCTACCTGCAGTTAGTTGAAGATGGGGAGGAGGCTCTGCCCTTGTCAGCTGGGTAAAGGATCAATGGGCCATTGAGCACCATCTGCCAGATTAGCTGCACCAGATTTGGTGATGTGAGCAGGAGGCAGGAGGCAAGAGACCAAGACAGAGAAGGGCCCCTGAAGCATAGGCTGAGAGCCCAGTACTAGATTGCTTCCGCCATATTTTACTGGCTGTTATTAACTACTCTCCTCATCTCTCTGACCACATGCCTGATGGAAGCAGGTTAAGGCAGGAAAGATTCATTTGGGTTCATGGTTCAGAGGACACAGTCTGTCATGGCAGAGGAAGGTGTGTTGCTGTAGAGAGGGTTGCTCTACAGCAGTGCAAGTTTTCATCATGGACTATTTTCACGGCAGTGGCAGACCGGAAGCAGAGTGTTCAAGCTGAGAGTCCGGCTGGGCTACAATCCTCAAAGGCCTGACCCAGTGACCCACTTCTGCCAGCCAGACCTCCAGCCTCAGAGACTCTTCAACCTCCCCATGTAGTTTCACCAGCTGGGAACCAGGTGTTCAAAAACACGAACCCTTGGGGGGACATTTCAGGCCCTGACCGTAACACCACCTGAAGTCACAAGGCCAGCCTAGGCTCAAAAATATATTCTACAAGAAGATGCACTCTGCCTTCCGAGGTGTGTGTGTGGGGGGAACCACTGAGTCCCACATTGGAGGATGGACCATGGCTGTGGGCAGAGATAATCCATGTGAAGCTGATAGAGATAGGCAGGGCTGAGCCATCAACAGCTCTTAGAAGAAAGAAGTAGATGAGGAAACTCTATCCAGGGATGAGCTGTGCTGACAGTTTTAAAAGTCTTTTTTAGCTTCCTGGCTGCCTGTTAGGAGCAGAATTTGGCTTGGTTATAGGAATGTTCTACCTCTGACCAGCTGTGTTGCTTCGGGCAGTCACCGAATACACCTTAGCCTTTATTTTCCCATCTGTAACATGGAATTTCAGTTCACACCTGCTGCGGCTGAAGTGTCTGCCCACAAGGCCCACATGTTGGAGATTAGTTATTGGGTCACAAGGAACCTGATCTTTTCTTTTCTTTTTTTTTTTTTTTTTTTTTGGTTTTATGAGACAGGGTTTCTCTGTATTGTTTTGGAGGCTGTTGGTCCAGCCTGGCCTCGAACTCACAGAGATCTGCCTGCCTCTGCCTCCCAAGTGCTGGGATTAAAGGCGTGCGCCACCACCGCCCGGCTGGATCCTGATCTTTTCAGTGGATCAATTTATCAATAGATTCATTATTGGGAGGTGATGGGAACATGTGCCAGTAGGGGCTTGCTCTTGGGGGCTTAGCCTTTGTTTTTCTTTTTCTGTGTAGTGTATACACATATACACATATGTGTATATGGGTGCTGGCTTGTGTGGTCACGTATGGAGGACAGGAGTCAAGCCTGGTGTCTTGTAGATGACTTTTCCATCTTTGTTTTTTGAGGCAGGGTCTCTCATGGAATTTGGAGCTGGCTGGCTCAGCTAGGCTGACTGAGGTCTTTGGGATCTGCCCATCTGACTGATGGTGTGTGGTTACAAGCGCATACTGCTATGCTGAGCCTTTAATGTGGGTACTGGGAATCGAGCTCTGGTCCGGTCCTCGTGCTAGTACAAGAACTCAGCCATCTTCCCAGCTCCAGAGGTGGTTGTTTTGTATTTGAGGGTCTCCCTCTGTCTCTTTCTCTTTCTTGATTACCATTTGACGAGCAATTTGGCAACGCGCTCATGCCACCAATGCTCTGCTTCATCGGGTGTGTTCAGCAGTTGGACCGAATTCTCTAACACCAAGAGCTAAACTTTAACTTTTCTCCTTGCTTACCTCAGCTGTTTGCTGCATTTGATACACTGTTTCAGAGGACCATGGTGAGGCCTTGTAGCATGTCTCTGACACAATGATAAAATGTATGCCTAATAGTAATCAAGTAGCTGTTGTAGCAAATAGCCTTAAATAGCAATAAAGAATAACAAGCAATTGCAATTTCCCACTTGCAAATGGGCCTGGGGTTTTCTCTCCTGGAAAGCAAATGGTAGCTTGGAGCTATTCTGGCAAAGCAAGTTCAGCATTAGAATTGGCCACTGGTCACTAGAGTCCCCTCCCTGGCTTCCCATGTTTTACAGGGCTCTGTTAAGGTGTGGGTAACACTCATCTTCACTTCTAGTGGTATACTTGATACAGGGCCAGGGGAGGTCTTATTCCGGGAAGCAAGGATGCCTCTCTCCAGGCCCAGAAGAGCAACTCTAGTTTTCATCCCCCATACTCTAGTGTCTCTTGGTAGGAACAATCAGGAGGGTGACCAGAAAATACATTTGACTTCTTGCCCAGAAATCTTGAACATAGCCTACATGTAAGTACCAGCCACATGTGGCCCCTGAGTGAGTATAAAAAGGGGATGTGGCTAGTATAGAAAAGATCTTTCTATTCAGAAATGAATAACCTGTGTAGCCTCACATGGGAAAGAGAAGTTCTACATAGACAAGACCTCTACTGCCAGCCATCAGTCAGAAACACTTGAGAACCTTGTCTTGGGCAATGTGGGAGCCAGGTGCAGGTCTTCAAGAGGATCAGGTGGCTCGAAAACCCAGGCGAACTCAGCTTTTCTGTTTCCTTGCCCGTTTCAGGTCACCTGTAGCTTCCAGAAAGGTCTCTTCCCTCATCCTGCCAGGTGCCAAAGAGAAACAGCCTTAGTGGTCTCCCCGAGGGCAAAGGCAAGAACCCACATCCTCTCTGTGTGTGGACAATGGCTGTGTAAGTAAATGGTCCAATGTGAGCTTGGGGGACATTGTGGCAGCTCAAACATCTTAGTATGTACATACATATACGTACACACACACACACACACACACACACACACACACACACACCCCCCCTCCCCACATGGATGCAGGTTCACAGAACACATACTTCCTTTGGGAAAGAAGTTGTTCTTTGAGAACTAAGACATGATGTCTTGGTGTGGAAAAGCAGATGGGTTTGCTTTGGCTTTAGCAGAGTTCTAAAAAAAATGACAAAGCAAAGCCGCCTCGGGGCCTGCTTTTGAAACTCACATAGGAATTTATTTCAGGACCTTCCCTAAAGTACCGGCAGAATGCTGAGTGAGGACTGGATAGTAGCTTTTCCTTAGACACCCCTACCCCCTCCCTGCCTTTCAACTCCAGTAGTACTAAATGGTCCAAGCCAATTCCAGGCTTCCTGCAAACTGCCACCCTTAGTCCTCTCTCCCATCTTTCAGTCCTCGGGAGTTTCTTAAAGTCAGGTGATATTTCAGGCTCCCTGTGTCTTGCACAGCCCAGACTCTTTCTGGAGCTTTCCATGAGCTGACTGCAGTCAACCGGTGGTTCCTTCATGGGCTTGCTGCAGTGGCATGGGTGAGATTAGCTTTCTGCTATCACTGTAATTTACAAGGCTCACATCACCATGTAACAACTTGGTGATTACATGGAAAATATCGTATAAATACACAGTAATTACAAGTTCATGCAGATTACTTGGGATATACATTTGAAGTTACCGAGTAGTTCAAAGATTAATTATCCTGTAACTGGCAGTATTTAAATCACTTTTCCCCCCTCATATACGGATACATCGAGGTCGACTTCAAGGCAGCCTCGGACAGGAATGCCATGAGTATGATCTGAAAAGAAAAAATGAAATTTGACAGGCATGGATTATTTAAAGCATGCATATGGGAGCTGAACAGCCACTACACTTTGATGCAAATCGTAGGGGAAGGAGCAGGGGGATGGTGTGCAGGGAAAGGTGCTGACCAAAGTGAGGGCTTCCTGCTGGGGACTTGAAATTTAAACAAATAATCATTTAAATGGCAGCTCAGCATTACGTCCCGAGCTGCGTGCATTAATGTCAACATCTGGTACCAACATTTTGACAATTCTATTAAAATGCCCCAGCATTCCCTATCTAACACCTGTTAGCTCTAATTTTCTTTCCTGAGAAGCACACCAGTAGACAGGGTAGATTCCAAACCATTTATCACTTTTAAAGTGCTTCCATATGCGTGTTGGACCCAGGCTGGCCCTAGGCAAACGTTTTCCGAATGCATTAAAATTCAGGACTATTTTTTTTTAAGTGTAGACACCAATGTTTCATTGAATTCATGTCTGGTAATTATTAGCTTAAATTATGGCTCACACATGACAAAGTGGACCATGAATTAAAAGGCATGCGCGCGGCGCGCACACACACACGCACGCACGTACACGTTCTTCAATAGATGCATTGGAGCTGTACATTGCACGTTATTGAGATGTCAGTCAGTAACCATTACGAAAACATGCTTCACGGAGGACCCTGGTAAGAGGCCCCCAGGGTTCCCAAGAGACCATCTAAAAATGTCAAAAATGTTACAGTATAAATGAATGACATCAACAAGCCTGGGTAGGCTTGAGATGCAAAGCTATTAGTTAATATGTTACAAGTTCCAAACCTCTAAGAAAAACAGGCAATACAATTTTCTTTTAACAAAGGGCAGCAGATAAGATCTAACTCATTCCCAGACAAGGCAATCTCTCTGATTTGGAGAGAGAGGGTCTTCAGCAGGCTGGAAGCGCAGGATGATTCAGGGAGATTTGGGGAAACTTGCAGAGCCAGCTGCTGGCTCTGCCTTGCCTGGAAATGATGGGTGCGAAGTTCAGTTATACCAGGGGTTCTCTTCATAATGATGTCTGGCTGCTGCTTGCTGTGCCTTTTTCATAAATAGAGGTGGTGCAACGGGATCTTCCGGCTGGTTTTAAAGGAAAGTAGGTGCTTGCGAGAAAGAGGTGATGGGAGCAGGGTCATCACAGGGGTAAAAGATCACTCATGCTTTTCCAAGGAACCTCTTAAAATGAGTTATCAAATGTTGTAGAGTTTTTTTTCCAGATTCTCATACCCACCCCCACCCAAACAAACCCATATGAAAAAAAATGTTTTAAGCAACCACCAAACACACAGAGAAACAGGAAATATTTTAAGCAGAAGTAAAAACAAAAACAAACAAAACACTTTCATGTACTTGGGATGAGGGTATGAACAGTTCTCTTGGAAATGCAAGAAAATCTTGAGATGACAAGGGAGGAAGGTACAGAAACCCAGTGTCACCAAACTCTCAACGTAAAAGACTCAGTAGGCAGTTAAAATGTCTGCCCCTGTACACACTCATACCTACACGTTCACACTTCCTCTGTTTACTAAATAACATTTCAACACAGTTTTCATCTTATAAGGAAAGTGTCTGAAACTTGGAATAAGTGCACTTAATTAAAGGGAGGCTGTGAAAATGTGCACTAATCTGATATGACTAATAGCAAGTGCATGAAATTGCTAATTAGAATTTCATTAAAGGTGCTGCTTTATCAGACTGTGAAAATCACAACCTTTAAAATTCTTTCAGGAGAGCTTAATTCCTTTTCAAACAGAAATATTCTTTAAAGACATTTGATTTGTTCTGAAGCAACGCGCAGTTTCGGCTGGAACTAAAAGACGTCTCCGATATTCCAGGAGGCAACATCAGAGTAGGAATCTAGATGTGGGGCTCTGTTGTCTTTGCCTGACGTATATACTCACACCCACAGAAGATTGTTCAAAAAAAATCGGTCATAAAAAACCCAAGTAGGGTCAGTTTGTCCCACACGGAATGTCCATTTTGCTGAAATCAAAATTTAGTCACTCCTGCAAGAGTCACTTTAAGCATTTTAAAGTCACTAAAAGAAATGAAATTAAATTTTTTCACATGCATTTTTTGGGGGATTAGAATTTATGCTTTATCTCTCCACTTTAAAAATATTTCTCTCCTTTTTTGAGATTATAATATAATCAGATGCATTTTTAAAAGGGACATTTACAATAAAGTATATTTTTTCTTTAAAAGAAAAGACCTTTCTGTTTCCTTATCAGCCAGTGGCCTTTATTCTTTTCGCTCTCTTTTTGTAAAGAAAAATCTACCTCTTAAAATATAGCAACACTTTAATCATAAAATTGCCGTCTTCATTGCATGGTATGGTTTTCCCCGTTTTAATTATTCAGCACTGGATCCAAACTCCAGGTCAGTTCTTACCAGATTAATAAGAAATTCTTTCTTTTAATTTTCCTGTTTTTTTTTATTTCAGCCATTTATTTGCATTTTTTAAATGTAAAAATCCCTATTTGCTGAATCTTCCTGTGTGGCCAGTGGTATTTTTTTTCCTGCTTTCTGTGTACCCCTCCTCGATCTCACAGGTAGTAACAGGTTTCTTTTGAATACTCACACCAGATAGAACAGTGACATTTTTATTACCAAAAATCAAAAAACCAAAAAAACTCATTAGTAGTCATGTAAACTAGAGTCCCTCGGAACATCATCTTCCTTTACTTTCATGGTGTAAAAATCTCAGCCTTGCTGACTGCTCTGAACACCCCATGTGACAAGTGATGGTGCGATTTCAGAGTCAAATCTTCTAAATGCACCTCAGATCCTGATTTAGGAGCTCGTCAGTCACGTTCAGATGGCTATCCTTTCTGAACGGGGAGGAAAATGGAATTAGAAGTAACTTTATTTGAGAAACTGATTTCCTTCGACACCTGAGCAAATCTCAAGCGGGTTAATGACAGTTTGGTTTGATTTTGAATTCAGCTAAAGGAATTTTCAGGGCATTCGGATAATTTGTCACCAGCGTTAGGCAGCAGGTGAAAGACTACGTTTTTCTTTTCTAACATTTGTGTGTGTGGGGGTGGTACATTTGTACAATAAGAATAATGATTTGGGGGAAAAATAGGTCTAGACTGAAATGAGAGAAAATTATGCTCCCTAGCTGTCATCTGGAGCCCAGGGCGGGTGTCGGTCTTGTTCCCCGTGGCCACTGCAGTCAAACAAAGCTGCTAATCCGAATGTTTTAAGTTTCAAACTGGAAAATATTGTTCTAATGTGGAAACAATGGGATCGTTGTCCTTGTGAGCACTCCGCCATCTCAGATGCTTTAACCACTCGCTTTTCTGCAAAACAAATGACAAGTAACGGCAATTTAATTTTTTTGTCAAGTCAGTCACAGGGAGAACGTGACACAGCAACACGGCAGACTGGGACCCCCACTTTCTCTGTCAATAGTTGGATTAGCAGTGGCAGGAATGAAAATAGCAAAGTATCCAGTAGCTCTCCTTGGTCCCCAGCTCTCTCCGAATTCATCCATTGTCATCACGAGGCAGAGAACTCTCCTTTGCCTACGCCAGACTTTGGGATGGAAAATTCCAGTGTCACAGAACAAGGGCCCGGAGTCCAGGATTTGTTCGTCTCTGGGGCCCCTGAAGGGTTCAGCATGGTATACTCTCTTAGCCTCTGGAGACAGACCTGAGGATGACAGGTCCCTTGCTGGCTCTGTGGCAAGGTCACTGAGCTTTGGGTTCCTCTGTGGGTGACCTTGAATATTTTTCTTGCCCCCTCTGGCTTCAGTTTGCCTAACCAGAGGGTGCTGACAATTGTCCTTTGCCCTCGAAGGCCCAGAGAACTACCATGGAGAGCTTCAGATGTTGCTTAGTGGAAATAAAATAGTCAGGACACTGGGGAAAAACTCTTTTTCCACTGTTCCTGGCTTCCCCAAAGAGGGCATAGTTTGCCCCTCGATTCTGCCCCATCTCAATTCAGCTGTTGCTGCTGAGAGAGGCCCTTCACGGTCTCCTCACCAGGGATGACGGCGAGGCTGTTGCCTTCCTAATACGGGGCTCTCACATAAATGGTGCTGTCTTTTTTTGTTCAGCGTTATTGTCTGTCTTCTCCCAGAAGGTATGTTCAGAGGGGCAGGCTCACCAAAGGACATCAGCCCTTTGGTCAACGCTGGGTATGCGGGAGGTAGTCAGTAAATCACGGAGGATGGATGGATAGAGTCACTTCCTCTGCAACATGACACCAGCCTAGGTGAAGAGCACCCCTCCCTAAGCACCAAGGCCCGCTGCTCAAGGTTGCACACAAAAGCGTCAATTTGGAATAATAATAACAGCAATTACAGTTTCCCAGCAGGTGTAGGTTGTCTAGGACGATGCCAGACAAGAGGAGACTTTTCTGCTTCTCTCCATCTCGCCCCCCATGTGATGAGGATGAGCTCTGTGAAGAGAGTCCTTTGGCTTGACGAGTCTGACATGGTCCTGAAGCTGGCCAAGGGAACTTTCAGGTTTCCTTCTGCCGTCCTACACGTTTGAGAACTTCTCTGCCTCTGGCTCAGCTCAGACCTCAGTCTGCAGAGTCTCCTAGGGCCTGGAAACCCCATCCCCCTGCTCCCAGAGCAGCAATCCCTACTTTTCTACAATGCACCTTGCTGTGTGTCCCCCCTAGTGACGCACACTGTGTGTTTGGTCCTGAGCTACTGCGGGCGAAGTTTCTTTTGATCCTAGACTGACCTTACTTGATGTGACCTTGGTCACAGAGTCATGCCTTTCCTTACACGCCTCTCTGAAGCCAGATGCCCAGACTGGCTCCTGCTGGACTAGCCAGGCCAACCCGAGGAGGAGCCTGCACCAGCTGCCAGCTTATGGAACCAGAGCCCACTGGGGGGGCCATAAAAGCCTAGCGTCCAGTGGGTAAGGTGATGCATGAACTGGCCGAAGTCTTTGGGTCTCAATGCCATGACCAGAATCCAGGGCCTGAGTATTTCAGGAAGGCCTGGCCTGGCTCCACATACCATGCTATTTATTTACTCCGTGGGATTACTGTGGACAATGGCCATCCTCGGTGGCGCCTCCCATCCCGAGGTCCTATTTTGAGAAGGAATTTGTTGAAGATGGCCGTCTGGCTACCGACCCAGAGATCCAGGAGGTCGTTTATGTATCCCATACCAGTTGCTTAGCAGCGCCCAGTTCAATGGAGGAAACTGGAGACATAAATATGAACACAGCTGACACAGGCTTCTACATCTCCAGGCCAGGAACTGCACTGTGTGCTTTGCGTAATACACAGCTATCAAGGCAAGCCTTTTCTTGTCAACGCTACATAGGAGGAAACTGAGGCACAGAACGTACCGAGAACTTTCTAAAGATACCTAAGGAGGATGTGGTGGGGTCTGGTCTTGGGAGCAAGGCCTGAGATCTAAGTTCCCTCCTTAGCCTTGGATCCAACAAGCGGTGGTGTTCAGTCTGGGCGAGCCTCCAGGAGGATGAGACTCAGCTGCTGTTCTTTGGCAACTCAGGGCTGCGGCGTTGGTGAGGAGAGATGTACATGGTGGAACTTCATGCACGCCGTCACCCAAAACTGCTTACTATGTACCAGGCCCTGTCCCAGCTACTTTGCTTACCTTCCCTGCTGCTGGGACCTTTCCAGTAGCCCTGCAACCATCGTCCCCAGTGCAGATGGGGTGGACTAGCCACTCATCTCTGGTCTCGGTGTCCCTGAATGGCAGAGCAGGGATGGGAGGCCAAGACCCCAGTTCCAGGTCTACACCCTGCCTTACTGTTGTCACTCAGGGGAAGGGATCCACCTACACTGGCCCCAAGGAGAGCCGGATTGCCCAGGTGTTGCTAGGCTGCCCACGCTTGCAAGACCGGATAATGGTGACTGAACTGCTCTGGGGTTGCTGTGTCTGAAAGGAAAAGATGGAGGACAAGGTCAGTGACACCCACCTTTTAAGTTATTGCCATTTGTGTGTGTGCGCGTGCTGTGTGTGTGTGTGTGTGTGTGTGTGTGTAACCCAGAGGTTCACATCAGCTGTCTTCCTCTGTCACTGTCCACCTTAGTGTTTGAGACAGACTCTCCCATTGAACCTGGAGTTCACCGATTGGCTAGATTGGCTGGCCAGCTGTCTCCAGGGGATCATCTCATTGGCTTCATGCTGGATTATAGACATGTCCTCCTGCTCTTGGCATTTATGTGGGTTCTAGGGATCAAACCCAGGTCTTCGTGCTTGTGTGGAAAGCATTTTAGTGATCAAGCCATCCCACCAGCTCCAGCATTTTTTTTTAATTTTCCTTCATTTTGCAGCTTTGGGATCAAACTGAGGGCTTCACCCAAGCTTGGTGAGCACCGTACCCGTGGGTTCCATAAGCACTTTTCTTTTTCATTTTGAGACAGGGTCTCATTAGGTTTCCCAAACCAGCCTTTGGTTTCAAACTTGCAATCTTCCTGTGTCAACCTCTTGAAGTGGCTAGCATTATAGGCCTGTATCCCCAGATCTGGCTTCATCTTAAAGACTAGGCACAAGGACAACCAGACATGTGTCTGTGGCCCCAGGTCCTTCTCTTTGTGGCCTGGGTCAATGACGAGTATCATGGAGTGAGGCCAAGTAAACGACCTGCCTCCAAAATTATATCCCCTAGTCTAGGGCACACGGCCATGGCAAATGAAGAGATCAAGTTAATTGCAAAATGGCTGTAAGTGACAAATCTCATTGGATGATGCAGATGGTTAGCAAATTAAGCCTATTATCACTGACATCATCATCTTTTTGGTTTTTTGTTGTTGTTGCTGCTGCTAAGAAGGTTGTATTCCAAGGCTCATGAGTCAACCCACAGTTGGCTTCACAGCGCAGTCCCACTAAGTCCTCATGTAGTCGCCCTGACCTTCCACCCATTTTACAGGTCAAGGAGCAGTGAGGATAAGCAACCTAGTGTTTGGCTCCGTAGCAAATCTGCCTGGCTCCAGCTGAGGGTCTTTGCTGCAGCTTCACAGGCTTCAGAAGGAGACCCCATGTCCTGGGGCTACTCTGGTCCAGAGTGAGTGGCGCCCCCTAGCACTTTGCCATACGCCACCCTGCTTGTTTTTGGAAGGGTCCCCTCTTCAAATACCCAATTAAATGTCTGGGCGCCAATTCCATTATCCTGTCTACCCACCCTCCAGCTTGTTTGCTCTCGAGTTTAGAACCATTCAGCCTCGGTGGCCCTGGTCCCATGTGAGCAATGCTTTGGAGGGCCAGAGTGACGCGTGTACAAGGCAAGCCTTGGTTCCTTCTACTTTCTCAACACGCTGCTGGCACCAGCGTCCAAGCTGATTTTAGCTTACACATCAGGGTGTCGAGAGAGAGAGAGAGAGAGAGAGAGAGAGAGAGAGAGAGAGAGCAGACAGACAGACAGACAGACAGACAGACAGAGATTGAGATAGCTCCTTCCTGAAACTGAATGAGAAGGATGTCCGTTGGCCTCAAGCTTATTGTTCCACCCTACTAAGGGGGTCTGGCAGGCTCTTCATGGTGTTCCCAGGTTATAAGTGGCTGGTGACTTTACTGAGGGCCAACACACCCTTAGACCTCAGGGTGCAGGTAAGGGAGTCATGTGTCCTACTTGCCTCAAACTCACTAGGTGAGCAAGAGCGATACCATACTAAATACTCAAGGTCCTGAGTGACAATGAGTGAACACCATGCAGATGGCATAGTCACTCAGGGGAGAGAGAGGTTCCACTTCCCTTGAGATAGCTGTGGGGCCTGGGGCACATTGCATGTCTTCTCTGTGCCCAGTTTCCTCACGAATAAAGGAGACCCAGGGCTTTGGAAGATGATTTTTTTTTTTGTGATGCGTGAGAAGCTTTTGAAAGGGGTCTTCTTCAGAAGGAGCTACCGATGTCAGCTGGCCCCAAAACATCTGCTGAAAACCTCCGCCCACTCTGCTTTCCCACTAGAGACTTGTGGTGTGTGAGTCCCAGAAAGGAACACTTTTAAGACTGAAGGCAAGGATGTAATTATTTCACTAGACCCGAGATAAATGATGAATGGGTGTTTGTTGGGGAACAACTTACACAGAAAAATACAAAGAACCCAGGAGCACTTCTCTGCCCTTTCTACCAGATCCGCTGACCCACCAGAGAGAAGGCACAAAGGAAAGCCACGCCTCCCTCTTACCCTTCCACCTGCCTGTGGCCACGCCCAAGGGGGTGTGGCCACTGTTACAAGTTCACTGCAAGACTGAAAACATTCAGCGGCATGGGTTCCCCGCTCACTTGGAGACTTAGGATGAGCCTTGTAGTCTGGTCTTGCCTTCTCAGTAAGACAGGAACACAATGAAAACCCACAGCCACGCGAGGACTAAGCAAATGTTGTGCATAAAGCAAATGGAACCAGTATTTGCCATACTTTACACCTTAAATTTCCCCTTATGCACCTTATACTAGTCGGCTTCCCTCTTGGGTGCATAAAAAGATTACATTCCAAGGGACTGTTTTTTTTGTTGTTGTTGTTTTGTTTTGTTTTGCTAAGGCAGGGGTAATACGGAAACTTCTACACCTGCCTAGCCTTGAGAATTTCTTTTCTTTCTTTTTTTCCTTAACTTTTAAAGTTAGTTATTTAAGGGTGTGAGCATGCTTGATGGCTTGAGTTTAGTCCTAAAAATACATAAAGTAGAAGGAAAAATTGATTCCTGCAAACTGTCCTCTGACACACGCATGCCCCACTCTTGTAAAATAAACACATTTTTGTTTGTATTTCGAAACAGGGTCTCTCCGTGTAGTTTTGGAGTCTATCCTGGCACTCATTTCTGTAGACCAGGCTGGCCTCGAACTCACAGAGATCCACCTGCCTCTGCCTCCCGAGTGCTGAGATTAATGGCGTGCACCACCATCACCCTGCTATAAATACAATTTAAAATAAGCCAAAATACAAAGCAATGGAGTTCATTTTGACTATATATATATATTAAGAAATAATGTGTGTGCACATGCCTGTGTTATTGTACTTTATCTTGCCTGTTTTTGTCCCCAGCTACTTACCTCTGTTTCTCCTAAGCTGGTTCTCTTCATTTCCCTCAGTGGTTCCCCTTCCTGCTGTCATGTCACAGGTAGAATTTCTTATATGGCTGTCCTAGTAAACTCTTAGAATACCAACACAGAGGAAGCTGAGGCAGGAGGATTAAGAGTTTGAGACCAGTCCAAATTAAAACGTGGAGTCATGACTCAAATACACCCACCACCAAAAATAAAAACAAGAACAAAACCCAAACCCCAAACCAAATATTTAGATGCAGGTCAGTGATGTACCTGTCTAGCATGTATGAAGCTCTGTTTTTTTCTTAGCACTGCCAAAACAAAGACTAAACAATAAACCATATTTAAACCACATATATACCCATGTATATGTACACACACACACACACACACACACACACACACACACACACGGCATACACACTACACGCACACCACCCACCCACACCCACACCTGTTTGTTTCTAACTCATGCAATACTAAATATCCACACACAAAGTGACATGAGAACCACTTGTTGAAGGTGGCAGAGGTTCTCCCAGGAAAATGTGCCTTCCTAGCCTGCTGGCTGCACGTGTCCTTGGACCATCCCCCCCACATATCAATTAATTGCCCTTCCCAAACACCTTGTGAAAGTAACCCAGCTACTGCCTCATCTTTAGGGATAAGGGCAGAGGCACATAGAGGGTATGCAGCAGCTGTAACAGGGAAGTGGGACCTTCCTTCCTCCTCAGCTGCTGTCAGTCCTACGAGGGAACCCCTCCCCAGCCACCCCTGTAACCCTTCGAGGTTCTGGGTAAGTGTGTCGGGTGAGGAGGTGCCAGGCTGAGGGCCCAGCACGTGTGGGAGACATGGGAACTCTGACCTGGGTGTGTACATGCACCAGATAGCCAGCCTTCCCAGGTTCCTGACCGAACATGGCACCACACCGTGTGCGCTGATGCTTCCGAACGACTCCTTAGTGAAGACCATCGTCAGCATCTTCCACATGAGAAACCCCCAGCTCAGAGCGGCTTTCCCTTCCTCAGAGTTTTCACGGTTAAAGAAGGAAGTCTGGCGCTACCCCCAGGTCGCTGACCCAGCAGGCCTCGCTCCTTGTCCAGCCTCCTCTTGCCACTTGGAAAGAGCAATAGTACCAGCTTTGTGCTCTTCCTGGATGGTAACTTGGAAGCTGCCCCTGTGATCTAGTAAGAACCACTAGCTAGAGTCAACACCTAACACGTGCACACACAGCTCTCATCCCTGGGATGACAACAAAGACCCCCCTCCAACCCCCCCCCACGGCCAAACCCACAGATTGAAAACAGGACTGGTCTTTGTCTATACCCCTTACCAATCTCTGCTACAGAATGGGTGCCTCGGACCATCCCACATTTTGTTGGCTTGGAGCGGAAAGGGGACGCACAGGCAGGAGCAAGCTTGTGCCACCCAAAGAGTGAAGTCAGAAGGGGCTTGGCTGTTCCCATTTGCACAGCAGCTCTGCTCCTAGTAGCTGAGTGACTTGGGGCAACCTACTCCACCTCTCTAAGTCTGTTAAGTCACCTATAAGATGGAGATATACAATAGAGGCAGCAATCAGATAAGATTGCTATGATGAAATTATAAGCTAGCAAATTATAAAACAGCAGGCTCAACACTGACTTAGTTGTCCTTTATCATCTAGGGCCAGCAGGGTGTTAGCATGTGGCGAGAGGTACAGTGCACAAAAGAATGCAGACACAAAGCTTCAGGGCTATACAGATGATGTCTAGGTGGCTCACAGGGGGCCCATAGAAAATGAGGCTAGAAGGAGAGGCAAGGCTGGCTGGGGCAGCTTGTCCTGGAACACTCTTTCAACGATGGGTGCTGTGTATGCTGGTGGTCTCATAATATCACATCGCCTAGTGATGTCACCACCATCTTATTTGCATAAGCACATTCAGCGACATCCCTCCCAGCCACAAAAAAAACCTCTTAGTTATACTCTTCCAAGACTGTATCTCCGTCATTAAGTGACACATAGCTGTTTAATAGGCCTCGGGGAGCCACTGAAGGTTTTCTGAGCAGGGGATATCATGGCCTGAGATACTCTGGAAAGACCCCCTCTAGCTGCAGAGTGTAGGGTAGAGCAAAACCAGCTGTTGTCTACACGCAGGACATGCAGGGTGGTCATGGAGAGGGTACCCCTGTGGACTCGGCAGTCTGTGAAGGTCAAGACGCACCAGAGTGGGCTTGGGCTGCACAGACCCTTGGCGAGAATCAGCAAGTACTATCGGAACATTCATTCCGTGTCCAGTTGTGCAACTGGCCTCCCCAGCCAGCCTTTATCTTTGCAGGTCAAGCCTGGGCTTCAGTACCTTCATGCACCACATGATATCAGCCATGATGGTGTAGAAAGGTAGAGCCACAGGGACCAAGGGACCAGGTCCCTTTGGGGCCTGAGACCCAGGGAAATCTGCCGTCCTGGGGGTGGCAAAGCTCTCTGACCTTCAGAAACCGGTTCCAGCAGGTATGCTCAGAGGGCCAAGGGAAGGAGGCTCCTTTTGTAGTCACATGCAGGTTTCTGAAGTGCAAGCCACACTGGCGAGAGCTGCCTGTCTGTCTCAGGCGAGCTTTCCCTTAACCTTTGCTTGTAATCCTGCAAGCCCACCTAATCAATTGAAGATCATAAAATATTAGACTTAACGCTGCAAAGTGCTGCTTTTTAATTCACATAACAAGCTCCTAAATAATTCAAACAGCAAACAGACCCTGCGAGTCAATGGTGGGAGGCAGCTTGGATCAGCAGGAGAGTGTCAACACATGCCACATTTCCCGGATCGACTCCATTTCAAGAACCCTATTAAGTTAATTGCTGGTTTCTGACAGCACAGAGCATGCTGGGAGAAAGCAAGCTTTATTAGCCTCATGGCATCTGGAGGCCTCCACCACTTTGCCTCTACTTGCAGACATTGGGGAAAAGCAAATCAAATTAGGAGACCAGAGATGCTCTGGATGACCGGTGGCCATCCGGCTCATGGTCAAAGCCAGAAACTTTCCAGAGTAAATTCGCTTTATGACTACTCATACACACACACACACACACACACACACACACACACACACACACACACATTAACGGAAGGGAGGCACCCTTTCAGCTCTGCGTGAGATATAACCTGCTTGGGGGAGAATCTCTGATTTGAAGGGGAATAAGGTGGACTCTTGAGGGTACCTTGGTAGACCCTGAAGTCAGTGAAACCAATTCAGGGCTAGGAGCAAGTCCTCAGGGTTGGCAAACTGGATAGAGAGAGGCCGTGGATCCGGAGATGGGCAGGAAGGACCAGGGGAGGGCATAAGGATGGCAAGACCCCCTAGCCTCTGTGATGTAGAAGAGGCCTCTGTGAAAGAAAAGGTTTACATGGGAACTAACTGACCTCCTTGTGGTTCTGGTACCTGGTGAGTCCCTGTGGGCTGTAGCATCCTGTGGCTTAGTGGTCTAGCACAGGTATGCCCCCCCCCCCACGGTGCTGTCTTTCTTTCAGACTCAGGATGATGCTATCATGGCTACAACCAAGATTCTATGTAGATTATAGTTCTAGCTGTAACCCTTTAGTGTGTGTGTGTGTGTGTGTGTGTGTGTGTGTATGCATATGGAGGCCACAAGTCAATGTCAGGTGTCTTCCTTGACTGCTCTCCAGTCTGTTCTTCGAGACAAGGGTTCTCACTGAACCTGGAGGTCCATGGTGGGCTAGACCAGTTAGCTGGTCAGTAAGCTCCAGGCATCAGGCTGTCTCTCTGCCTCCCCAGCTCTGCCCTGCCCCAGCTTTTTATCTTTGTGCTAGGAGCCCATACGTAGGTCCTCAGGCTGTGTAGCTGTGCCTTAACTATTCAGCCATCTTCCCCAGTCCTCCCTAGATGAACTTAAGCAAAAGAGCTAATTTCCCCGTCCATCTCCCCATGGTTCAGGTGAACATCAAACCCTGACTGAGAGGACTGAATTAAATAATACACACTGAATATCTGGTCCCTTGTTACATCCTTGCCACTCCATATGGGGGCTCTCAGGTGAGCAGCCTGTAGGACAAGGTGTTACACAGCCCTGTTACCAAGGACCCTTCCAAGGCATCTTGCTTGCACATCTGGTTAATTACAAGCATGTTTTGTGACTCTTTTATAGTTCTTTTCGCCCCAGCCCTTGGATCCGGTTTCTGTCTACAGAGAGTACGCTTCTTTGGTGAACCAAGAACTTCCCTTGGGAGGCACACAGCAGAGAATACAGTACGATAACGACTGTAGGAGTGAGGGACTGTAGGAGTGTAGGAGAAACTGCGGCCAGCCTACCCAAGCCGCTATTGCCCTGTCCCTGGTGCCTAGGTCAGCCTGCATGAGCACGCGCATGCGCGGCAGGCATCTCCTTCCTGAGCCAAGCTGCCAGCTGCCTCAACGCCCAGTGACTGTTGACAGAGAGACACCTGACCCAGAGACACCAATGAGGAAAGCAGAACGCAGCGGAGTCAGCCGCCTGAGCCAATAGCACCTTGGGAGGGGGTATAAAGCCAGGTCTAACTTAGTTAATAAACGAGTCTGCGGAATGCTCTGCTACTCACTGACTCCCAGTGCCTGAGTCGTTGGTGCTGCGTCTTCTCACCCCCTCCCCCAAGGGGTGTCCGAGCAGGGTCACCCGCAACAGGACTGGGTTTAGACGGACTGCATTGGGAAGCGGAAGCGGGCGGACAGGGAAGCCAGATGGGTGGGATTGAAGCGCCTCCCTGCTTTGATGATAACCGGGGCCACAGAAAACAGACACAGAGTGTGGTACAGGATCGCATCCCATATACACGGTACCCGACCAGCTGGGGACCCTTACAGCTGTCTTATAGGCAGGGGAGTTATCCCTCTTTATATATAAAAAGAGCAGAGGCTGAGAAAGGCTGAGCAACTTTCCCAAGATCAAACAGCTGGCAAATGTCTGAGCTAGAGGCCCCTCTCTGCATCACACACCGCTGGGCTGGCCACTCCCTGTTTCCTCCCTCCCTTCCTACATCCCATGGCTGGTGGGTCTTTTGGAGCAACAGGGTTGTCCTCAAGCCAGCCCAGCAACACCGTGGTCTCCTAAAGTCTTTATCTCCTTCTTCTCAACTCAGCAGGTGTCCTGGAAATCATAGCCTTCAGGACTCCCATCCCTGGGACTCCTCTTGTGACCTGGGCTGGAGGGGACACTCCCTGTGTGACCTCATGGTTCTGCAGATAGGCTTTTTAACTAACTTCACCTCCCCACCCATCTCCTCACACACAACTTCAGGGGGACATCCAATTGGAGTGCAGGACTCCAATCAAGAAGCACTTGGCCGGCTGACCTGTAACAGGATCTCCAAACAAGACCCCAACTTGGTAGCCCCTGCATCCTACCCGTCTCCATCTCAGGGAGTGGAGCTCCTGGAGGAAAGAAAAAGGTACACCCACTTCCCACAAACCCAGAAAGAGATGAGTACAGCTGAGGTACTGCTGCCTGCCACTTGTGTCTTGGGCTCCATGTAAAGTCTAAATATATACTTTGGAAATTGAAAGAAAAAGGCTCACGTATAGAATGTGGCTGGTGGAGGCATGGCTCTCTTTGAACTTGTCTCTTTAAAGACACAACTGGAAGCGTGCTTTTCCTACCCTCGAGGAGATACTCGAGCATGGCAGCAGATGAGGGATGGAAATTAAAGTGTCTCTCTCCGGGCCACCATACATGAATAAAACAGGCACCATCTATTCCAAGCACTCATTAATAGCTGGTCTCTGAGGGCCCCGGCAGCAGCTAGAGGATTTTACTCATTAAAAAGATGCTGGGGTGGAGTTGGTGGTTCCTTGGGTCCTATCGATGCTGCTGGGGCCCTAGTTGTCACACCTTGCCCAGAGGCCTTAAAGTATCAGACTGATTGCTGGTTGGAAGCCCTCTGTGAGGGTGAGGGTCTAGACAGTCCCTGGAACACGGGTGGGAGCTTCATGGCTTCATACAGCTGGCTTCCACTGTGTTGGATTTACCTGGGTCTTACAGGGTCCTACAGTGTTCCAACAGCTACTCGTGGAGGTAGTAGGGGACTTTGTCAGGATAGGAGCCTGAGCTTAACTCTCTCAGGCAGAGGGAAAAACAGTAATTCTACCTCCTTTTCAGGGATTCAGGGAGTGCTGCTGGGTACAGCATTAGTAACTTGTGGAAGAGAAGGGAGCTGCTCCATTTGAGCTACGCCAAGCTGCAGCTACTGAGTTAGGAATGGCAGGTCACCCATAACTTTTTTCTGTGTGTATGTGTATGTGTGGGGGGGCATACCATGGCACACGCGTGAAAGAAAGAGGATAACTTATAGAGTCAGTTTTATCTTCAACCATGCGATTCTTGGGGATAAGACCCAGGTCGTCAGGTTTGCTAGCAAGCACTGTAAACATCGGTCATCTTGCCGCCACCTTACTCTTGGTACTTGCGTCTCTAAAGCAATATACTTATCACGCTTGTATTGCAGCACTCTGATTTCACACGCAGATGTGTGTACCTGAATAGTGTCTGGGGTGCACTAGGGCATCATCATGTCAGAACATGTCCTTACGGAAACAGACCATGAGTCATGCTGTCTGGTCCTAAGTTATAGCTATGGTGCTGTGCCAACCAAACCACTCTAAATGTGGACAAGCTATGTCACCTCTGAACTTCATTTTAGGATAGGAAATGGATACAATAAGGTCCTCTCTGATCGAACTCCAAACCTGGCTCTCCAAACCAAACGTAGATATCAAGAAAGACTGTGTATCATTCCAGACAGACTGAGGAGCCAAGGTTAGATCCTGAGGGATGAGGGAGAGGTTCTTTCAGGCAAGCATGGTCAGTAGACCTCCCTCTCTCTTCCCTTGCATCCCTCTCTCTGGCAGCTGCAGTAAATTAAGGTGCTACCAGCAGAGCACCCCCACCCCTTGCTTGTGGGTGGAGCAACTTGTTCTGTTCCTTTATGTGGCTATGGGTTACCTGTTAGCAATGGTAGCCAGGCATCCTTCTTCTGGTTTTCTGATCTACCCAGGCCTCTAGTCCATGTTTCATATTTTCTGATTGGCCCCGTTACCTGACTGCTGCCTCAGGCATCGTTGTATCTCAGGAGCCAGCCTCTCAACTTTTAGACCCCAGGCCAGGAGCTAAGAATATCTCCCAGAGTATTCCCCAACACCTACAGCAGATGCGCCCGCAAATTAGCCGGTCCCAGCGGTGGGGTGTGGAGGAGGAAAGGCCACATTGTTGCTAAAAGTATTACATACTTAATTTGCAAATTACATCATGCACTCAGGCACAGGTCAACGTTCTAGGAGCCTTTTTTCAAAAACAGTGACAAATCAAGCTCTTGAATTTGTCTTTTGCAGAGAAGGCAGGAGAGACAGGAAAGAACTAGGGAGCATCTAGCCAGGCATATGCATTCATTCACAGGTGAGGTCAACATGCTCACGCCTGGGAAAGATGGATGTGTTGGCAGAGTCCCCTGCTCTACACCCTCTGCTCCCACCTCCACAGACCTTATTCCCTCTCCTCCCAAGTCCAACCCTGTGACATGAGCATTGTCAACCTCCTCTTCATCTCAGAGGCAGGAACTGGAGTCTCATGAGGCCTCCTTGTATTCCTTTCTCTACCATGCCTCTAGCACGGGTCCCAAGTCCTTTTGCACCAAGCAGAGCTTTGCAGAGGTATAGGTGGTGACAGCACCAGTGTGCTTGCCCAGTCATGTTTCCAGGAAATCATTAGTCCACAGTCAGGTGGCTTTATTTTGCAAGGGAGAGCTGTGGAAGCCATATGAGGTTAGAGCCAGACTGTATAAACAAGAGCTTCTAGTTTCAGGCACAGGGGGTGGGGACACATACCTAAAAAGTCCCAGCACTTGGGAGGTTGGGCGAAGGAGGAATGGGTGTTTAGCGATATCCTCCAGTACATAGCAAGTTCAAAGACAGCCCAGGCTAAATGAGTCCCCAGTTGGGAACAAAATGAACCAAGGCCAAGGAGACAGCTCAGTGTATAAAGCGCTTGCCCTGACGGTATGAAGACTGGAACTTTGACTCCCCAGAACTCATGTTAAAAGTGAAGCGGCGTCCTCTTGTATTCCCTTCGTGGAGAAGTAGAAATAGGGTTCTACTGTCCAGACAGCCTAACCAATTGATGAGCTTGAGACCAGTGAAAAACCCCATTCCAAATATATACATATACACGGGAAAAGGGGGTTGGCAGCCATGAAATGACATCAGAAACCGTCCACTGGCCTGCACACGCAGGAACACAAATGAACATGCACGCCCCCTCCCCACACATGCACACACAAGAAAAAAAACAGGGTTGGAGAGATGGCTCCGCAGGTAAGATGCTGGCTGTGCAAGTTTGAGGACCTGAGTTTGGATCCTTGGCTCCCGTGGAAAAGCTGGGAATAGCGGTGCTTGCCTGTCACCCCAGTGTTGGAGAGACAGAGACAGGGGGATGCCCGTGGCTTGAGGGCCAGCTCGCCTCACAGGAAGGTCGAGCTCCAGTGAGAGACTCTTGTCTAAAAAAAAATAAGGTGGAGAGCCATAGAGGAAAACATCCAGTGTTGGCCTCTGGTCTCCATATACTCACACACAGCGAGCAGGCTTCACACATATGTGCGTTGACAGGCGTGTGTGTGTGTGTGTGTGTGTGTGTGTGTGTGTGGTTTCTTTTTCAGTTTCTTGCCCTCATAATACTTTTTGAGTCATGGTCTTTCATTGGGATTTGGAGCTCATAGATTCAGCCAGACTGACCGTCCAGCAATTCCCAGCAATAATTCTGTCTCCTCCTCCTCAGTGCTAGAGCTGGTGTGTGCCACCACGTGCAGATATGTGTGTGGCATTGAGGTCACAGCTCAGGTCCTCATGCATCAATCTCTTGGAGGCCCGAGCCATCCCCCAGCCTTAATTGCAGCTTTAAAAAAATTAACTTGAGAGTGATTTTACGAACAAAAGGGATAATTTGCAGGGTACTTTTGATTTTTAAAGATAACATCAGGTGTCAATAAAGTTAAGCCTTTAAAAACAACAACAAACAAACAAGCAAGCAAACAAAACAAACAAAAAACCAGGGTCTTCCTGTGTATCCCTGGCTACCCTGGAATTTGGTATATAGATCAGTTTGGTCTTGAACCCCTGGAGAACCACCTGTCTCTGCCTCCTGATGGCTGGGATTAGAACAAGTGCCTTTCCTTTCCCTTTTAAAGATGACTTTCAGACTCAAATTACAAATTGCATTTTTCTGTTGTTGTTTTTCTGTGAAAAGTATATATCATCTACATCCACCATTTGCCTAATTCTTATTTCTGCACCTAGTTGCATTCAGTAATTCATGGTGTTCTTAATATTTATATATTTGTTTAAAACATGCAGATTGGGCCGGTGAGATGGCCTAGTGAGTAAAGGATCTTGCCACGAAACCCTAATGACTCGAGTTTGAGTCCAGGAACCAATAGTATGAGGAAAGAATAGGTTCCTGAGAGTAAAAAGGGAAGAAAAAATTTTTCTTTGACAACTGCATGCACTGTAGCACATGAGTATCCACACTCAGACACATGTATTATACAGATACCCACAAAATGGCAATAATGATAAACTAAATATTAAATGAAATGCACGAGACCACTCTGAAAATTCTAGTAGAGCATAGTGGGGTTGCAGGCTTTAGGGAGAAAAAGCAACCTTGAGTGCCACTGAGTGCCCCTCCCCCTCCCAGAGTCCAGGGAACTCTACTCCATCTGTGTATCTGCTTGTGGTGTGTGTGTGTGTGTGTGTGTGTGTGTGTATGTGTGTATGCTTCTGTATGTGTGTGTGCTTCTGTGTGTATGTATGTGTGTATATGTGTGTGTCTGTGTGTGTCTATGTGTGTGTGTATGTGCCTTTGTGTGTATGCTTCCATGAATGTGTATGTATGTGTGTGTGTACATGTGTGTTTATGTATATATCTCTCTGTGTGTGAGTGTGCTTCTGTGAGTGTGTGTATAGGTATGTGTGTGCGTTTCTGTGACTGTGTATGTATGTGTGTATATGTGTGTGTGCTTCTGTGAGTTATATGTGTGTGTGTCTGTGTGTGCTTCTGTGAGTGCATATGCATGTGTGTATATGTATGTGTGTATATATATGTGTGTGTATGTATGTGTGTGTATATGTATATGTGTGTCTGTGTGTATGTATGTCTGTGTGTATATGTATGTGTGTGTCTGTGTGTGTGTCTGTGTGTATGTGTCTGTGTGTATGTATGTGTGTACATATATGTGTGTGTGTGCGTGTGTGCGTGAGTGCACATGAGTTTCTACTCATTTGATCAACTTGCTCCAGTCCTTCATTGCCGAGAGACACTCTCAAACCCAAGCTGCCTCTTCCTCCTGTTTTACGGAGTAACGAGATTTACATTTTCAAAAACCCTTTAGATAATCACAAAGCCCAGAAAGTTCCACTCCTCTGAGGTTTAATTAGGAGAAACTGTCTTTCTGGTGCTTCAAGATCTTCACTCTGAATTTCTCGGAGGAAAGGAGAGGTTCACGGGAAGGGACGAGACGTGCGGGAGCTGTGTGCCAGCCTTCTGCCCCCTCTCTGCCCTGCTGTGGAGAATGGAGACAAAGGCAACTTGCAGGTCACAAAAGTCACACTGTGAGTGTGCTCTGTATCATTAGAGCCCAGAGAATGGGGACAATCAGCAC